CAACGCTATCAGCTATTTTTAGCAACGATGAAGCCGATTTCACTCCTCAGCGAGGAAATCACGATTTTGGAAATACAAGCACTGATTTTGGAAAAGAAGTGCTGCCACCTGGTGCAAGAAGAAGAAACCAGCTTTAATATGGCCGTTGTTTGTATGGTAGTCCAACGTTGAAGTATACCCTTTTTTGTGGCCCGAAGTTGGACCTTTAAATTGAAGCATCCGAAAATGATCGATATTGATCGAAATCATGATGTTGATGAAAAAAATAATATGTTAAGTTGAGAGAGGAGGCCATTTTATCCAGATGCGGTGGTTTACTTCTTGAAATTATTTTTGCTTACGACGACTGCCATGTAATGAGGGATAATTAGCAGCGGTCATTAGCAAAAATAATTTCAAGAAGTAAACTACTGCATCTGGATAAAATGGCCTCCTCTCTCAACTTAAAATATTATTTTTTTTCATCAACATCATGTTTTCGATCAATATCGATCATTTTCGGATGCTTCAATTTTAAGTTCCAACTTCAGGCCACAAAACAAACTACCATACAAATAACAGGCATATTAAAGCTGGATTCTTCGTCTTGCACCAGGTGGCAGCACTTCTTTTCCAAAATCAGTGTTTATCTTTCCAAAATCTTCATTTCCTCGCTGAGGAGTGAAATCGGCCTCATCGTTGTCAAAAATAGCAGAATCGTTGTCATTTTTAGCACGTGTGACAAAAATAGCACGTGCTAAAAATGACAACGATTGACCAAACCTCCCCCGACTGAGATAGGGTCTTAATGCATTTAGGCCAGGTCAGGTCAGGTCGGGTCAGGTCAACCAGTAAAGGTTTTGCCGGGTAGGTGGCAACCGCCTCTGGCTCTGACAGTTTCGTAACATGTTACGAAGGCACCAAAACTACTTCGTAAATGTTCAAATGGAAATGGTTACTAAATTCGATTTCAGCTCCAAAAAAAAACTGGTCTAGCATCATGTAAAACTCGAAAAAGTGAACCGAAGTCATCAAAGGTCAATGACCTGACCTGACCTCCCGGGTGACCTTGACGCCCACTCTAATGCATGGGAGCATGATATCATCTTCCATGTTTGAGCGCTTGAAACCACGAAAAGACTGCAAACGCGCGGCTAATGCGAGCCGACATACGCCGAATCACGATTCCGGCCAAATATGGTCTCGAAAAGTAGGTCACAGGTCAAAGGTCATTACGGTCAGGGCCATGATCTTCAGAGTAGGTGTAAAATTGACTAACGCGAGGGTACTGAGAGTTTCGTCGCGGTCAGCCGCTTTTACGTGAGTTATTCGTGAAAAACTGATGGGTCCGTTCGACCCCCCCCCCCCCCTTCCCCCTATACGAGCATGGCTCGGATTGCCTTTTTTGTTTTTTGTTAAAAAAAATTATGGTCTCAGGGCTGTGACGAAAAACAAGTGGCCAAATCCGGTGAGAAAACAAGATTTGGGGGTACCCTAGGTTTGGGTCCTTCAGTCTCTGTCCCCCTCTCCCCCCCAGTGAAAATTCCTTAGACGAGGCCCTGCAGTACAATCGCTTCGAATACTGGTGGGGGTCATTTGAGAAAAATCCCCCTGCAAAGCTCTAAATAGACGATAGTTTGCCAACATTTGGGGTTTTTAGACTGGAAAGAAAACCAATTTCCATAAGACAATTTTGATTTAGTGAACTGCAGGGTGCAGAGCAGTTTGGCGGAGTCGAAATCTAAGTCCTTTAGTTTGGCCACTTTTTGGGGTATACCTACCGGGCCCCTGCAGCGTCTGAGACCGCCTTTCTGGATCCTTCTGCACACATGAGGTTTCGAATATGGCGACAGCCGACAATAGGTTTTAGGTACCTACGAGTAGGTGACGTCGATGACTTTGCGAGGTCAGCTTAACGTTTTCTTCTGTTGTAGCCCGATCCTAAAGCCTATAGGTAACCTAACTCAGCAACTAATAACAATACCTGGCCAGTGGCCGATCAACACAAAAAATGTCGTTTGAAACGGACAATCCGCCACCTAAGCTCCTGATATTAGTAACGATTGAAGAAATCGTATTTCATCCTCCGCGTTAAAATGTGAGCAAATAACTTTATCATAAATGGCTTCTGGTCAGTGGTCACCGCTCAGTGCTTCGCATTTTTCCGTTATACTCAGGTCACACAGCTTACAGGGCTCCGTATCGAACCCATGGGCTGTGCCCTGTTCGATGCCATGCTCGATGTGCGCGATGTGTAGCGAGTCTATCATTCAATGCGGCGAAAGGGTGCGTCTCAGGCCTCAGAGGGCACTCCGGTTGATGCTTAGTTCATCCATGCGTGGAAAATGATGTGTACTGAGACCGACGCGCCCTGCTGCAGATTTACCAAACTCCTAAATGTAAATGTCGTCTGCAGTAGGTACACAGCTACACACATGACACATATATCATTCCAATTTCCCTCATCGAGCCATTGTGACTTAGGTAGAACCGCCAGTCACCGGACGTGAGTCGTGAGGCAGTCGAAGACGGCAAAACTCAAGCGAAGCACACGCAGATTTTAACCTTTAAATAATCCCGATGTATATAAATTTATATATATATATATATATATATATATATATATATATATATATATATATATATATATATATATATATATATATATATATATATATAGGTAGGTATATATATATATACCTACATATATATATATACCTAGGTATATATATATATATATATATATATATATATATATATATATATATATATATATATATATATATATATATATATATATATAGGTAGGTATATATATATATATATATATATATATATATATATATATATATATATATATATATATATATATATATATATATATATATATATATATATATATATATATATATATATATATATATATATATATATATATATATATATATATATATATATATATATATATAGGTTAGGTTAGGTTAGGTTAGGTTATATATATATATATATATATATATATATATATATATATATATATATATATATATTATGAATATAGCATTATAGTAGGTACATACTACCTACATATCCCTATATCGTCTATACCACAGTGTATATGTTACGGGTCATATGCTAACTTGGGTCGACCCCTTGGGCAGTATGCATACCGCCCAAAAGCTTGGGCAGTTTGCATACTGCCCAAGTATACATGTTCTTGTCTTGAAGTTGTGCATTCCATGTTCATTTTCAAAATATTAATGGCTCTCTAAGTAGCGTAGTTGAACCGCGAAGTCTTTTTGCCGTCAAACGTCATTTATCGATTGAAGGGTGGAAGAATTGGATTGGAATATAAAGGCTTAAAATTATTTTCCTAAAACTTCATTGTTAGTTAGCCAGCGGCCAGCAAGTCAATTTTATCTGAAATGACAGATATATAGTGTCATCACTCGCTGGCCTTGGTTTGGCATCTGGACCTGTGAGGGCGTTATTATAGTTTCACTAGCTAATGTTGCATGAAACCATTTACATGTAAGACGTTACAAATTGTTGTGGTCAGGTTACTGCAGGTCAGGTCAAGTGACCTTACCTCAGCAAAAAAGTTAGAATGCTCGCTATAGCTACACCGGCTGAACGATCGCTTTGAAACTTTTAGCGATTAATAAGAGTAAAATTAGGTACAGAATTCATGTATTTAAATTTTAATATCATACCAATGGCCTAAGGTCAGGTCAATTTTGCACAGTCTCCCCTAGAAGTTGACAAGAGAAAGCTGAAGGACGCCTTTTTGGATGAACGTCATTCTAAACACCCTCAAACATCATGTTACAGGTAAACATGACACACTGGATCGGAAAACTGCACCTGTGACCCCTTTTTATGACCATGAGGTCATATCAGGTCATAAAAGATCTCCAGCAGTTCTTTGACGATAATTTTTTATGGAGACGTGTTGGAGCGATGAAAACAACCTTAGATGTGTTCAGGTCGACGATAAGGACGGGTTGATAAACAATATGACCTTTTCACGTCAGGTCATGACCTTGACCTCTGGTCAAATTTTGAATTTTGATAAAATTTGAGTGCATATTCCAAAAACCGCTAAAAGAGCCATCGAATACGCCGAGCTATGGGCGAATTAGAAAAAAATGAAAAAGGTGAAATTTGACCTTTGATGACCTCTGGTGCCCTATTCTTTGACCAGACGTAAAAAATCACCAGAGTACTTTCGTCATGATTTTTACACTATTTCAAATGCCGGTTACCGCATCTTACATGCCGCTTATTTATGTGCCGCTAAGTGGCACAGGAGCCGAGCAGGGGTGTTCAATCCCCCCCCCCCCCCAGCCCGGCACGGCTGGCGCCGAGTACCGCCCCGGCGCAGGTTAAAGCGTCTGTCATAGGACATGTATGCAAGCTATTGCAGTTTAACTAGTTTCACGAGCCACGGTCAGCATATTGCCCGAGTAAACATCTTGCCCGTGAGATGAAAGGTGGGTACTGGGTAGTATACATACTAACCGGGCAGTATGCAAACTGCCCGGGTGGTATGCAATATGCATACTGCCCAATGGGTCGGGTAGTATGCATACTACCCGGGCGGTATGCATACTGCCCGGGCTGTTGGGTAGTTTGCATACTGCCCGGGTAGTTTGCATACTGCCCAAGTTAGCATATGACCCGTAACATATATAAATTATAAATAGTATATGACACAGTGTATAAAGTCTATACGACGTTAATTGCTCGCTAGTTACATACCTACTGTCTTTGATTGGGGTTGATGCTCGAAAGAAAGCGCCTGAGTGGTTAATCCAATTTCCAAAGATAAGCAATGATAAGCATAAACGCATACATACCCACATGCGTACATAAGTACTCGTACATGCTGCAGTTACCCATTGTGTTTCCCTTTTCACTGAGGATGAAATTGATGCAATTCACTCAGTGGTCCTGGCACATCAAAAAGCACTGCATGTCGCTCTCGCATTATCGCTCTCGGTCCTTTCCCGGGAAAAAATACATCAGCATGTTATATATTTATTTCATCAGCAATTTGTTAGACATAAGCGGCGGGCGGTGCCACCGTACCACGCCACTGACCGGCCGACCGAAGGACTGATCGAGTCTGAATGGGGACAGTCGTCACGGTCGTCACTGCGAGTCCTTCCCTCGCGGCCCGGCGCAGGGGCGAGCCCAGGTGGCGACCCCTTGGGGGCTGGGCTGACCCCGTGGGGACCGCACAAGGGCGAGGCCAGCCATCGACAACGCAGGTCACGGCGACGCTCAATTCATTAGCACTTACAACGGTCACAAAAGTTTGAAGTTTCATGTTTTGAAGACAAGTGTCGACACATACGGAAATATGAAGATGAGATAAAACGTATGGAAGAAGACGGCGGCTGGCGAGCCGTGCTCGGCGGCTCACAGCCGCTTGCAGAGGCCCGGATACTCCGTGGAGCACGTGGTACCTTGAGGGCAGGCGGAGCACGGCTCACCGGCCTGATAGACTTGTTTGCCAATAGAATTTCCGTGAGGTGCATAGTTGCAGTACAGTCGGAACTGAAACAGAAAACAGTAGAGCTAAAGTACACAAAACGGGCAACTATGGCGGAACAAGTATAGTTTAAAGGACGAATCGATTAAAATATAAACGCTGAATGAACATGAACGATAAACTAATTACTACATGTAGTTTACTGTAAGCTGCAATAAACATGTGGGCAAAATAGAGAGTGGCAGCAACTGTTCGACAGTTCGATGAATCTACATAGACGACATCAGTCACTTACCGAGAGCCCTCCCCTTTCCGCGTGCTCAATCCAGCCGCATCCGAGCATCTCAGTCGTGGCCCAGATCACCTGGGTGTAGTGTCCGGCGCCGGTGCCACCGGACAGACTGCCGCAGGGCATCGGGGGCGTATGTCAGCATAGACGACAAGGTAATGTCAGCATAGACGACAACATCACACACCGCAAAACCCTGAAAAACTTTTAACTCTTCAGTCTTCTGGTTCTGTTAAGATAATAACGAGGGATGCTCAAAATTGTATTTATACCTACCACATTTCGTTGCAATGAAAGTAGGCATTCTTTCCGGAAATGGCTGACTTTATATCAATTAAAAATGGAAATATTTGTTCGTGTTATTTTTAAATGTATCATCGCTGCATGCACATCGTAGGTATAGCACATCACATTGCCTCTGAATAGGGGGCCGCCTGCGACACTAACCTGTGAACGTCCGACGAACCGAGGCGAGTGAGCTCCTCTAGCCAGCCGCCCATGGCGTCCAGGGGACGCAGGTTGACCCGCAGCAGCTGCTGGCGCGAGAGCGGACCCCGACCCATCGAGAAGCTCCGCTGCGCTACGTTCTGGCCGACGTGGCCACGCGCTGCAAAATGACATCATTTAGCTCAGTTGTTTGACACGAATAATGCATCGGATTTTATTTTGATATGAAAATAGAACATTAGCGCAACCCAAAATAACGCATCTGTCCGTCTTAGCAGACATTTGTTCTTTACTTAGAGAAGTTCTCTTATCTCGCCAAAACCCGAGAGCTTGGTATGCCTCGGTCCCCGGTCAGAAACTATACACTATAGGTACACTACAGTGACACTCCTGCAGGGAACGAGTCCGCTGGATTCCACGTACCGACTTGGCGACATTCATGACAGTCGTGTCCGTCCACGCAGCGGTCGGCAGCACCCTGGGCCACATCATGCAGCTCCACGTCGTATCTCTGACGGAACACAAATTAGGGAGCGGTTAAAACACAGAACTTAGTGGCATGGCTCACGGGGGTCGCAGGCTCAAAGTTTCTTTGGAGGCTTGTCTCTGCTGGTATCTCCGGACTGAAGATGTTGGCTCGGAAATGCAGCACCCAGTTAGACGAAAAAAGGAAACAAAGAACTGTCTCAAATCTCAATAGTTATATTTATCATCTATTTTGCAATTGCTGAGTTGCCGAAGACGGTCGAAAGTTCCACGAGCATTAAACACAAGTTTGAGGATAAAAAGAAAGGAAACTTGCTTATTGTCTGCATAAAACCTAGGGAAATGGAATGCAAAAAACAGCCCCCATACCAGAACGCTCTCAATTACCTACCAGTTGCATGATGTTGGCCCCGCTGGGCAGGAGCTCCCCGTTCCGACCGCGCCGCCGGCCCTGGGCCACCAGCATGCGCTCCATGTTGTGCCTGTGCAGGATGGCGGCGCTCTCATCCACAGAGAGCCGGCGGCGGCGCACGAAGCCACAGCTCTGTCGGGTGTGCGGCACCTGACACAGCGAATGCCCTCCGAACAGCCTGCAGTAGTGGTCGCTGGTGCGGGCCGGATAGTGGTCGCCTCCGTCGTCAGAGTCAAACTTCGGCTGAAGGTGGTCGGGGAGCACACGGAACAGCTGCTGCTGCATCCTGCTTTGCTGCAGAAGCTCCTGACGTTGCCGGTTGTCCATCTGCGCCAGGGCGCACAGCGCTGGCATTAGCAGCGCCAGCAGGCTCGTAGGACGGGCCATCGTCGGACGTGTTAGCTAGTCTCGGATCACGCAAGAGTGCTGACGGGGAAGGCCCCGGACCCGATCTAAATGGGGAAATGGGGCGCTGCATTCTGTGGATCAGCCCGGGTACTTCCTGGTCGTGTCTGTGATTGGTCGGTTACTGGCCATCGGCGTCGGTGATTGGCTGGTGGATGGCCGTAGATCACGGCGATTGGTTGGCGGAGGGCGGGTTCTGTGAAAATCGGACTCTGGTTGGTGGAGACCTTGTTTCTAGGTGCGATCTAAGAGCTCCCCCTCCCTCCGGAGCCGAGAGGAGAGGACGCAGGGAAATGTCGGGAAGTAGGAAGCAAATGCAAATGATTGTGGCCGATCAAGTGGAGCTAGAGCACTGAAAATGTCACCAGAGGACTCGCCATGCCATGAGGCTACCTTTTCATTTTTTCTTTAAGCTCACACAAAGATGTAGGAACATTAACCCGGCGGCCGCTGGGCCTCCGCGCCACCCGCCGGCCGCTGGGGGGGGGGGGGGGCATATAGTTGCCCCCCCCTTTACTTCTGCGGCGATATCGTCGCAACGCGAAGAGATAGAGAAGCGAAACTTTGCACACATCTTCCTGAATACCTAGCCGAGGTTGTGTCCAAATTTGGTGTCGATCCCATTTGAAATGACGTCACAGTGACGTCATAAGTCAAATTATAGATTTGCGACTCTCAGTTTCCTCACGATACATCAGATATATGGGACCGAATATAAAGGGCCGATTATTGGTTAGAAACTAGATGGAAGTGTACTTAGATGCTTTAGGATGACAGCAGGTGCTGTCTAGTTCATTTACAGTTGAGTTTCATGCTCAGCGTTATCAGAAACGGTCCATATCGGAAAACGACAAAACTTTATGACGTCACTGTGACGTCATCTTAGATGCTACAACCACCAAACTTTCTTCAAACATTGCCTAGGTATTCATTTGAAGCTATGCCAAGTTTCACGTTCGTAGCTCATCAGGTTTCGGAGATATTCCACAAAACGTAAAGGGGGGGGGCAACTTTATGCCCCCCCCCAGCGGCTCGTGGGTTAACAGATCAGACAACTAAAAACACGTGCACAAAAAAAAAACTAAGAACAACTAAACTAAAGGAACTAAAACAAACTAAAACTAAAATAAACTGAACTAAAACACATGCAAAATAGTTTATGAACATGCGATTAAGAATAATTGTGACGTAAAGCATATCATTTGATAGCCCATAGACCGTAGTAACTTTCCTTGCAAGTTACTAGTGATTGAGTGTGACCTTGTTTGACCTGGCCAGCTTGAAATGCTATGAGAAATTGTTGCGCCATAGGCCCCAGCCAGGATTCAGCCCAAACCGGATTCGTACAACATCCGATTGATTATATATTGGCAGATACACAAAGTCTTGTTCAGTGTTCGCCACGGGCCGCAGAATCCCAGTCCAGCCCAGCCCAGGCCCATGGGTTCACAGCCCGGCCCAGCCCGAGCCCATTCATGGTAAAAGTGTCAGAGCCCAGCCCGGCCCAGCCCGTCAAAAATGAATGGATCAAAAATTGTGGACACCACACGGGTCATGCGAAGTTAGCAAAGAAACAATATTTTGCGAGCAGTATGCCCAATGCACATTGCATACATGCTTTATTATCTCGTTTTTTTTTTTTTAGAGTCGCACAGTAATAAGCTAGTTACGTTTTTGTCTCAGTCGCGAACCCTTGAGTCCACTTTACAGTTATTGGCCCAGCCCATCACAGCCCATCGATCCTTCATATTTGTGGGCCCAGCCCAGCCCGTAGCCCAGCCAAGCCCATGGCCCATTGGGCTGGCCTGGCCCGTGGCGAACACTGGTCTTTCTGACTTCTGTATCGGGAACTATGTGATGTGCAATGTGCAATGTGCATGCCCTAAAACTGCACTCCAGAGAAAAACAGCGCCAAAGAAAAGGCACATTGAAAAAATATTTACCGGTATTTTGGGAAAATTAAAGAATACACCAAATAAATATTGCATGTATGATATATTCAAATTATTCATATACCAACGACTTTTCCTTGGGCCACGTATTCTTCCCCACAATGCCTAATTCGTATGCATGCATTTCAAGTTTATCCATGCCGTCTCAAATCTGGGATAACCTCGGGCTGGAGCCTCAATAGTGCGTCGATTTTTTTTCTTTAATTGGCTAACGCTGCCAAGCGCTCACACAGAGATCTCTTATAACTCGAATAACGCCATACGAGTATATTCACCACGGGTTTGCATAAAAACTTTATGGTTTACTTTACAGTACCGGGTGTCCCAAAAGTAAGGTCATGATTTAAAACTTAAATATCTCGAGAAGTAAGAGTCCGAATCACTTCCAATTTTAACACGTGCAAGGTACATCCATAAAATTATTTTCTTGCATGCTTAAACCATTTTTGATCATAACTACACCGAGCAGTAGGCATAAAACTGAGAAGGTCGAAATTCAACTCTTGAGAGGGTCCGTCATTAAAACAAAGGGTAAATACCGCCCAGTTTTCGGCCCTAAGCAGACCCTATCAGCTCGCCCTATCTCTGAACTCATGCATAGTTTCGCCTCAACCGGTAAAACGTCAGAAAAAAAGGTATAATGTACGCACAGGGCATGTATACTTAGCCACCTGTGCTTCGAGGTCCTGAGGACGACAGCGGGAATCGGGTGAAAATAAATCAAGAGAGGTGGCCGAGAGTCCTCCAAGTGGTTCTTCCGCTCGTCGCAACGCAGCTGTGCCGTCACCATCAACCAGCAGTGGTTTCAGCAGGATGGAGACTATGCTTGCACCGTCCTGAAGATCATGCATTGCCTCCGAGAGTGGATGTGAGATCGCGTAATTTTCAGTCAGGGCAACGCCATTGAACGGCCTCCGCGGTCACCTGACGTTACACCTTCATATTTTTATTCTCTGGGTACACAGCGGAAAGGTTGTCTTTTAGGACAACCCAACGAGCCGAGAAGAACTACAGGATGATACCTCCGAGCAAACATACGCGGCATCTCACCAGAGAATCGCTCCAGAATAGTGGAGGAAGTAAAACGCAGTCTATTCGTGCACGCGGCCCGAAATGGTAGCCATGCAGAAAAGCAGCAAATGTGGGGCTACGAGCCAATGTATTGACTCATATGTATATCAGAATAAAATTTTATGAAATGCTCTTTCATATGATGTCCTATTGATTTCTATCCATCGCGTACTTTTGGCGGTGTGGCCAAAACAAATGATGACCTTACTTTTGGGACACCCGGTACATCGATTGATGTGCTTTGGATCGCAATTCCCCATATATGCAAATTCAAGAGCTGATGTGCAAGCTATTTTTCCTTACCGTAGATGACCTGAGCTCATCGCGTGACCTTTAGACGTAATATTGGTAGTGGAGGCCATACCGAGTCGTTTGGTGCCGTTTTCAGCTCTGTAGTTCTACTGGATGGGTCGCAATCTGCCGTGTAATTTTGGGGTGCCGTGGCCTTTTCTGATCTCTGTAGGTCAAACAGCTTGGGGTGCCATCGAATGGTATCAAACACGTATTTTCTATCACAAGGACTCTGTGTTGTTGGGCTGTCATGACGCAAGGTTATTTGTCAGAGCAATGCCTAGCCTCAAATAATCAACAAGCGCACTCATGTAGCACAACATGATAATGCATCACCGGGAACATTCGCTACTCACATCGTGGTCGTTACTAATATCTTATAATATTTTCGTGGCTTTTTTAGAAATCATGAGTTTTTAATCTTTACAATCGGAGGCAATTTTTATAAACATTTTTTTTTCTTCAATTCGGTTTGCTGCAATTAAAACACATTTCGATGTTCATATCGGCAAGAAATAAAAGAGTAGCCTACCACGCCTTCCTCTTATACTCGCTTATCCATTCGCTTTGTTTGCGGTTAACCCGCGCCCTGCTGGAGGGGGGGGGGGGTGTTTGAACACCCCCCCTTGTGGTTTTTCGCGAATATCTCAAAACACCTTATCATACATCAATTCTACACATGTTGTGAAAATTTCAGACCAAGGTCATTCAAGGTCAGGTCACCAGGTCACTTGAAGTGACCTCACCTCATAAAAAGTTTCAATGTCTGTCATAGCTACACCGAGTGACCGATCGCTTTAAAACTTTCAGCGATTGCTAAGAGCAATAGCACGTACAAAATGTATATCTCAGAATTTTGATATCGATGACTTAAGGTCAGGTCAATTTTGCGACCTCCCCATAATAAGTCAATGGGAGAAAATTGAAATGCGCCTCTTTTGGACGAAAGACATTATAAACACTCCCAAATACCGAATTACAAGTGGTTTAGACACACAGAACATGAAAATGGTGTCCGTGACCCTTGTTTATGCCCTGAGGTCATCTTAGGTCACGAATGGTATCTAACAGTTTTTCGCAAATAACTTTTGATAGAGGCATGCTAGAGCGATGAAAACGCCTTAGATGTGTTCAGCTCGACGATACAGATCGACTGATATGCAGCATGACCCTCTCCGGTCAGGTCATGACCTTGACCTGAGGTCAAATTTTCAAGTTGACCTTTCAAGGTCAAGTGATAGTTCATTCGATGCGTCTTGACGAGAGGAACACGATGCCGGTAAAAGTAAGCTCGTACAAGGCTTGGGTCAAAAGTTATTGCAGAAAAACTATTGCCGAAAAAATCGGCTATTTTTGCAGTTTTTGCCCCCTGCAGGCAAAACCGTTGACGTTAGGTCAAATCTGAGAGAATTACTCAGAAAGGGCTATCGAATGCGCTTTTCCGCGGCGCTGTAGCTCTATTGGTTCCCGAGTTATGCGTTGGCTTCTTGGAAATTTTCGACATTCGACCTGGAAATCGGCGAAATTTCGCCTTCTATGACCTTTGGTGACCTGACCTTTGACCTGACCAAAAAATTGACCGAAGTGATTTCGTCTTTATTTTTGACGCTCTTTCGAACGCCGCATTCCGCGTATCGCTACGTGGCCCAGGAGCCGAGTTACAAGGGGGGGGGTGTTCAAACACCCCCCCCCCCAGCAGGGCGTGGAAATCCAGGACCCCCAGCCGGGAGCGGGTTAATGATTTGCTCCCTCATAGCCGTAAGCTTAGGTACTAGAACCGAGAATTGTTTTGTTTAACCCTCGCCGGACCTATTGGTTTTCTACATACGCGCCGGCCGAGGGGGGGGGGGGGCGGGTACGACCCCCTCCCTCGCCGTTTCGCCCCTGGTGGAGCTAGCGCGTCGCGGAAAAAACGAGCGTGTGCGCCGTTACGAGACGCAGAGATTGGTACCCGATTTTAAGGTCCTAGGTCAACCGGTGACCTCTGAGGTCAGGTCAAGTGCCCCAAGGTACGGTTCAGTTTTTGGTGAATAACTTCGCAAAAAACGGCCGCAGAGCGCCGATTCTGGCAGCATCGTGTTCGTCTCGCTCAGGCGCGTCGAATGATATACTTTTTGTCCGGGTCAGGTCAACTTGGGGTGTTGACCTCAGGTCAAGGTCAGGTCAGCACCCCCAGGTCACGAAGTTGGTCGAAAGAGGTCATGTTGCATATCATTCGATTCGGCAGGTCTTCCTGAGCCCATTGGTGGCTTTCCCGACTCGCTAGCTCAATTTGATCAAGAGTTATTGACGAAAAACTAATATGACCTTGATGACGTCATAAATGACGTCACGCAAGGTCAACATTGCAAAAGTGACGCATCTAACCTTGCAAGGAGTGCATAAAATCACGATTCTGTGTGCTTGAGATAGTTGGAGATCGTTCCCGGCGCCAGAATAGCAGTTTTCATTTTTCCCCATTGACTTATAATGGTGAGGTCACGAAAATGACCTGACCTCATATGACCTTTAGGAAAAATCTGAGATATGCAAGTTGTGGGACTCATAATGGATACTAGATCCTGCAAGTTTCATTTCCCTGTGACATCTCCTCTGGCAGTGAGGGCGTTGCGAAGTTGCGACATCTGAAGACCGTGCAGAGGTTCACTTATGACGTCATAGGTCAGTGACCTGACCTGACCCAAAAATGCGGTTGGTGTCAAAAGATGCGGCTTGGATCAAAGGTCAGGTATGCCAAGTTTCAGCTCTCTATCGCCAGCGTGTTCGGAGCTATCGCGAAAAAACCCTATGGGGGGGCGGCACCCGCCCCCCCCCTCGGCCGGCGAGGGTTAAAAAAGCGGTGATTTGATGGCAAAAAACCGCGCGGATTACACCTTCTAAAGATATATTGAAGGTAAAATACTTCAGTTGAAAGGAGTCTGAGGCTTCAGCGAGTTGGTACTTCCCAGGTATCAAATAGGTGCCACCGCGAATATCCCGTCGTGCAAAGACGGCCAAGGTGTATTTGAAATCTGTCATGCTTTTAACAAGAGCAGTAATTACCAATGTCATTGCCTTACGTAAAATTGTCTTAGGTGAAGCTTCTCACACGACAGTTTGGGGTGCCGACCAAGGGCTGTCCAGTCCATGGCTCCGAACTAGAAAACACGGATGTAAAAGACACGGCAGTGTCACTCCCTCCCTCACAAAGAGCCTACTTGCCCTCTGTACCCTCTTTCTCACGCTGGGAGCCTGTCCGTCAGACCCCTCATCTAAATATAACATCTATCTGGGTCAGCACGGTCCGAGGTTCGGCCTGATATGCCAGTCAACAATGGCGTCGTTTCGTTGGCGAGGGGCGGTGTTTTCGGGTTTGACGGTCCCAGAGGGGCACCTGGTCAGTGCCGATCCGGCGGCGTATGGGAACGCGGAAGCGATGAAAGGAGAGAGGGGGAGGAAGAGAGAGGTAGAGCGGGGAGAAAGTGGCGGCGGCTGCGGCGACTGACCGACGGTCCGAAAAAGATTTTAATCTTCCAGCGGAGCGTGGTAGTTTCATCGGTCCACCCCTTTCAAAACAGGGGACTGTCAGTACTCAGTACCTCATAGTAGAAAGCTGTGAGATCCTGACGGGCTGGCGCATTTATAGAGTGCAGATTTTGTCGTTTCAAGTTACCTTTAATCGTAACTATAATGGTCTAAAAAATTCGGATTCGTGGAGATATTGTTTTAACTCCGACTACCACATGGTATCTGACACCGATTCTAACCACGATTCCGACTCCGGGTAAATTCACTGCCACTGGCGCAATGCTAAATCGCGCCGGTGCGTATGAGGAAGAAGGGGAGGGGGGGGGGGGCATTGAAACACAGAAGTGTTTTTATCTGGATGCCGCGGCGTTTGTTGGTTGCTGCATATTTTGTCACATTTTTGAAAGATCACCTGCACAGTACAAACTCACGTCATATAAAAGGAACTCTTTGCTGTCTTTTAAAGGGCTGCTGGCCCGAGCAGTGTATCGTCACCGGACATTCAGTTGAATTAAACGCGAGGCCTTTCAAACTCATCGACTGTAGGCAAAAATGTGTGCGAGGTCTCGGCAAAGAAGCACTTTGTTAGCTTTAGCTGTGGTTATCACCTATGAGAACCATAAGTAGCATAATATCATGAATATTGTGACGTTTGCTTACGGCATCCTACGACATAACGACGGGGTCATGCCATCCCTCATCATCTCACCATTTTTCACCATCAGGACAGTGAGAACATGGTGAGTGAAATGTTAAGAAATAAATCATTGCAGCTTAGTGAAAAAATACAGCGTACCTACCTACAGGCAAGGGCATTATAGCAAACAAGCTAGTTTCTTGTGACCATCCAAGTGGTTATGCTTGTTTCGCACATATCACCTAGTACCAGACTTGTGCCAAGGTCCCAAAAAGATCCGAGATCCAGGGTTCGCAGAGTCCAAGGTCTGGGACCTTGAAGGATCCTGGACCTCACATTGTCATTTTTGTCGCGAGACCTTGGAAACCCAGGACCTTAAAACATCCATATGCCGCGAGACCTTGGAATCCCAGGACCTCAACATTTGCATATGCCGCGAGACCTTGGAATCCCAGGACCTCAACATTTGCATATGCCGCGAGACCTTGGAATCCCAGGACATCAACATTTCATATGTCATGAGACCTTAGAAACCCAGGACCTCAACATTTCATATGCCGTGAAACAATGGAAACCCAGGGGTCGGGACCTCAAAATTTTGGTATGCTGCAAGACCCTGCAGAATGCAGACCTTCAGTCCCAGTTTTATTATTTGTCATGGGATCTTAGGAGAACGGTCTGGACCTACACCATCATTTTGCTGAGGGACCTCAAGAATCCTGGAAGCTGGACCATGAGGTTTATGTTGCACATGGGCCACTAAGGACCCTGCACTAGGTTTTGTCTGTAAGCACTTCAATAAATATCTATGGTTGAGCGACCAGCTGCAAGGGGCTAAGATAGATACATGAAGAGAAAACGAACCAGACTGTGTAGACATATATAAAGCCAAATCGTTGTCATGGCTGTGAGGCAGAACTGGAACAAGAGACCTGGTAGCTTTTTACATTATCGATGTTATTGATTATGAAACTGTCAAACAGTGGACAGTGGTGGTTTGGAAAGTTCTTTTCTAATCTCACCTCACATATTTTCTGGGGTTGTGATATGCCGGGCTTGAAGCTATTTGGAAGCTACCCACTGACCTAGTTAGTGTCAAACTTATTTGTTTTGCAATTCATCAAATCACCATTGAGCCAAGGCATTGAGCAATGAGCAATATAAGCAATGATTCCATGACAGTTCAACTTTTTCGTTTAGCAGGTTTTCGTCGGACAATTTTTCGTCTGCAGATTTTCGTCCGCAGACTTTCGTGACTTCGTCTATGCATTTTTTCGTCTGTGCATATTTAAGTCCGCGCATTTTTTTATAAGGACATTTTCCGCCTCGTCCAGACGAAAAAATGCCGGACAGAAAAATACTCAAACGAAAAATGCACCAAATCAATTCGTACAGACGAAAAAATGCAAGACGAAAAAGTCAGACGAAAATCTGCCGACGAATAACCGTCTGACGAAAAAATTACCACATGGAGTTTTGTTCAGAGCCTTCAATCTAATGTGAATGAACAGTAAGTAAGGTTTGCGCTCGCTGATACTCTAATTCTATTGGCTTAGTCGATCAGTTTTTCTGTGAGCGCTCGCGCAAACAAGACTTAGAACATATTTGAGTTTTTATCCTAGGCATTATGTAACTGAATGTGCAGAAAATCGAAAGCATCCTATCCAATTCAACTTTTACGTTTTTATGAAGCCTGTAAGTTTTATTTCTGGTTTTTTGATATTGCCTGAAAGAATACTTGAATGTCTGTCTTCAATGACTGTAAGGTGCTATCCTATATTCCTACTGATCAGGTAAGATTGAATTGAAAGGTACATGACAATACAAATTGCAAGGCCTACCTATTACCTACCTACATTTTTATGAATTTGTCAGGTTAAAGGGACCCTCCCACCTTCAAAAAAGTTTATGAATTGGCATGAAAGTGATGTCGCTCGGTTCAGAAAGAGCGAAAACGAATATCTACCAAATTTCACCGAAAAATATTCACCGGTTTTCAAGATATTAGACTTTTACTTTTGTTTACTTTTTGGGATCTCCGCTGTTTCTAGCGACTTTATTTTAGAAGTGCGGCGTTTGCGGCAGATGTTGCGCGCAAATAGCATATACCACCGCGTGCTACAAAACGTTTTAGTCAAACTTAATGACGGACGTTCGAAAGCCTGATGACGTCATCAGATTCCCGTAATGGTTAAGAGATAGGGACCAAGCTGGTCCCACCCTGCAAGTAAAGGGAAGAAATTTCTTGAATACCATAAAGCTGCGGGGGTTGCGACCAGGATAAATGGTGGTTTCTGAGCCTGGCCGCAAACTTGGCTATCTCAACTCAAAACTAATGTTAAGGTGGGAGGGTCCCTTTAAAGAAGGAGAGATTGATATTATGATTCATTTTTAACTTGTGATGAAGCTCCCCCTACCTATGTTGGTTAATGATAAAACCACCACAGTCCACAGGTTTGCATAGGTTCTGCCCCTTTCAATGTTGCTGGGCATCCGTTGGCAGAATATTTAGAAGTAAGTCTGCTCATCAGAATGTTAGTTTGCTTAAGTTCTTGTTGTGGGACCCTGAATACTTTGGATCCTGAGATGTATTCTTGCCGTGGGACCTTGAGGATTGTGGACCCTGAACTCTGAAGTGTGTACTTGTCATGGGACCTTGGGGACTGTGGATCCTGAAATTCACACTTGTCGTGGGACCCTAGGGACTGTGGATCTTGCAATGCATTCTTGTCGTGGGACCTTGGGGACTGTGGACCCTGCAATGTATACTTGCCATGGGACCTTGGAAACCTTGGATTCTAGAAATTGAATTTGCCGTGGGACCTTGGAAACCTTGGATTCTAGAAATTGAATTTGCCATGGGACCTTGGAAACCTTGGATTCTAGAAATTGAATTTGCCGTGGGACCTTGGAAACCTTGGATTCTAAAAATTAAATTTGCCGTGGGACCTTGGAAACCTTGGATTCTAAAAATTAAATTTGCCGTGGGACCTTGAGGATCCTGGATCTTGATTTTTGGTCCCGGCACAAGTCTGCCTAGTACCGATTCGCTCGGAGGAGAAATAGCGAGAGTCGCATCAAATACATACATTCTGCTTGCACCTGGGTCGATGGGTCAGAGTAACCTCTTTGGGAAGACATTTGCTTCGACTCTTCCATGCAGATAATTTATGCTAGACTTCCATATTCACCATATTCACAATCTACTATTTTTATATTAACTTTGCCTACTTTCAAGGCCCGTGACCGGGAAAAAAATTGAGCGGCTCACGGGTAATTCAGCCTTACTTGGAGCGAGCGGCGGGCGGTGGGCTGGCCGGCCGCCAGCTGACCCCTGCCCGGGGCGCCGGCCGGTCACGTGACCTTTCCCGAGGTCACGGCGGGGTCAGCCGCACCGTGCCCCGGCAGATCGGGTCGAGGCGCCGCGCCGGGCGGGCGGGGCCGCGGGACTTCGGATTTTGGCGTCGGCAGATTCTGGTCCTTTGCTGCCGTGCTTTCGCTGGCATTTTAAGTTTTTCGTTCTGTAGACAATTCCACATTCTCTAAACATTGCTTACATTTTAGTATTCTTAGATTGGCTTTGTCATCTGGTACGTAGGTTTGCCTCCTCTTAGGGATTAGTATCTGGGATGATTTTTCACGGCCTGTTATTCAGGTTCCATTGCTCGACGAGTTGTTCCATCTGGTTTGCACGATGACACTCCGTGCACTACACCGCTTACGGTCAAGGCACGCGTATTATATAGTCCAGCAAAGTACCACGTGCTGTAACAATCGGCACTGGACAGTCTGCCCATGGGCGTGCTGACTTGCCATGTAAATGGGCAATCCCCGCTTCTCGTGCTCTATCCATCCACATCCCAGCATTTCCGCTGTGGCATATCGCCTGTGTGTAGCGGCCAGCGATGGTTCCGCCAAAGACCTGACTTAATTTGAAACGAAGCATCATTGAGAACCAGCACCAGCAGAGACATAGGACAGCGACTGATGAGCCATGGTGGGGGGCTTACAGCTCCATTCTCATGCTCTATCCATTCACGTCCCAGCTTCTCTGCTTTGGCCCACATCGCCTGTACGACCAGGTGTATAGTGACCAGTGCTGGCCCTACCAGACAACATTTTACGGACTGGGGCGCCCCATCTCCTACACCCAACACTCGGTGGATTCGACGGACGCTGGTTGATCCGGAAGGATGCTTTGGGTTTATAGGAGTTTATGGACGTCCCGGTTGTAGGGTCCAAACGTCATAAAGACGTCGTTTTAGTTCACTAATCAGCGTCTGATCTAACCATTGCTTCATTTGCTCCACCAGGCTGGTTGATATCGAGTTCTTTATACAACTATCTCTTCCATAAATGCAGCGCTGTGCTCGGCAAGGTTTTGTCCGGGATATCCCCGTTGAAGTAAAACAGAACGTTGCTTCGATTATTTGCGTTATTTAGACAGATCCATCATTTACATTTTTGATTAAACATGTAAGAAACGTACCAAGTCCTATTTTTCCACAATATTGTTTGGAATCGGCGAAAAGTCTCTAGGCTGATCAGTGACTTATCCAGACACATAGACTGCGATTTTTTGGCCATTTCCATTGTCCATAGTCGCTTAGTCTCTGGTACTCTGTGGAGCATATTGTCCCCCGCAGCCACTCAGTCTCTGATACTCTTTGGAGCACCAGATCCATCATAGCCGCTCAGTCTCTGGTACTCTGTGGAGCATATTGTCCCCCGCACCCACTCAGTCTCTGGTACTCTTTGGAGCACCAGTCCATCGTAGCCGCTCAGTCTCTGGTACTCTGTGGAGCATATTGTCCCCCGCACCCACTCAGTCTCTGGTACTCTTTTGAGCACCAGATCCATCGTAGCCGCTCAGCCTCTGGTACTCTGTGGAGCATATTGTCCCCCGCACCCACTCAGTCTCTGGTACTCTTTTGAGCACCAGATCCATCGTAGCCGCTCAGTCTCTGGTACTCTGTGGAGCATATTGGTCCCCCGCAGCCACTCAGTCTCTCCTACTCTGTGGAGCACCGGGTCCCCTCGGATAAGCACAAAGCACTGCTCACCGGCCATGTAGGCTGGTATGCCTGCGACGTTTCCGCGGCCCATGAATTTTATAGTCACAGAGGAGCAACTATATTGATCAGGAGCAAATTGTACATAGTCCCGCTTTATCTCTTTGGCACAGCTTATGTTTCAACTATCTTCCACGAATCACATGGTCATTCCGGGTGTTCTCAAGCCTAAATGGTCTCTAGGTCGCAAGCCGGCATCGATCCCTACTTGTATTGAAGGCTGCCTGCCTGGCTGAGCCACTGGGAGCCCGTAGACAGCCTGAGCAGAGTTAGCCAACCATATACACGGGCTTGTCAATTGTGTTGCCACGAACCCACAGTTGTGATAAATCCTGGCCTAAAAAATAGTTTCAGGGTAGGGCCAGGCACTGAGCGGTGATCTATCAATGAAGGCAGTTAGCAATTTAACTACAAAACAAACTGTAAATAACTTACTGCAAAAAGTAACTTCCCCTCTGGAGTGGCGTCCGCTTCAGTAGCATCTGCCTGTGGACGGTTGACTGGCTGAGCTGGCTGATTTTCTCTCATGGCTTGCAGCTCATTTGATCCACTATACGCAGGCCGATCCTTAGTTCTTCCCTAGACAACTAGTGAGTTTCCATAAATGTGCTGTGCAAAGTTTTGGCCCGTGGGGCGGATCATGGTCGGGAGTTATCAGTCTCTGGCTAAACTGGAGTGATGGGCACTGAGGGCACAGGTCCGGGCGCCGTTCAATATGGCGACGGAATTGTTTGGGCGATTTACAGAGGTTTCAATTCAAGAAATATTCAACTACATTGATAAAAGTATAGTTACTGCAGGCAGTCATTGCCCGCATCGTAAAATCGCTGACATCACAGAATTTCCAGCGTCGTTCCGCAACCAGCGTCACTTGCATCGACATCCCGTCGGCCAGCCTAGCCCGCCTTAGCCTACAGCTAGACTTTGCTAGGCTGAAACTTCTTGGCCCCGTCCGATCCACTTCATCTTACCTGTGATCATTTTTACAAAGTTGCTGCGATAGGCGTTTAAACATGTGCTGGATTAGTTCGCAAAATCGACAACGTCTATGAACTTCCTGTGTCATGAGTCGACGCTGGATGTTCGCAAGCGCTGCTGCCTTTTTCTGCGCCGATTCCAAAGCTCTGGTTCGAAACTCGCCCTGGGTCCCTCCGCAGCATCCATAGCCGCTTGAATTTACTGAACATAAGCCATCCTTTAGTCTAATGATAATTAAAGTACTTGCGGCATGATCCACAACCAAAACCGGCCTTTCGGCTTCTCCAATGACCGTCCGTTTTTCGCAGGACCCGCCCGCTGCCAGCCAATCACAGGCGTGTGCGTCCACCCCCCCCCCCCCCAGCCAATCGCCAATAATTATGGCCGGCTGCTGACCAATCAGACATCCTTAGGCCCTCCCTGGGGCGCTCCAACAATGCGACCCTCTATTTTCGTCCCCCATTTAAATAGAGCTTGGTATCGTCAGTCAGCACTCGGGTTTACCTGGCCCGAAGCTGATTGCTCTCGGCCATGACCCGCCCCGCGTGCCTATTGACGCTGCTGCTGCCAGCGCTGTGCGCCCTGACCAGCGCGCAGATGGACAACCGACAACGTCATGAGATGCTGGCGAGGGATAGGATGCAGCAGCAGCTGCACCGCGTGCTACCCGACCACCTTCAGCCGAAGTTTGACTCTGACGACGGAGGAGACCACCATCCGGCCCGCACCAGCGACCACTACTGCAGGCTGTTCGGAGGACATTCGCTGTGTCGGGTGCCGCACACCCGACAGAGCTGTGGCTTCGTGCGCCGCCGCCGGCTCTCTGTGGATGAGAGCGCCGCCATGTTACACAGGCACAACATGGAGCGCATGCTGGTGGCCCAGGGCCGGCGGCGCGGTCGGAACGGACAGGCCCTGCCCAAGGCCGCCAACATGATGCAAATGGTAAGTAAATAATGTCGAAATGGTAAGCAAATGGTCGAATATGCTCTGTTAGTGCCTAGACTAATAGGTCAAAGCAATCTCGTCCGGAAGAAGTTGGGTTCGATTCTCTGATGCTGCTTATTTATGTGTGGGCTTTTACAAGTTGCTAACAAAATTCTATTCAGCTATCCTTAAGTCTAGTGATAATCACTTGCAGCATAATCCACCACCAGCCTTTCGGCTTCTTCAATGAGCGCCCGTTTTTTTTTCAGGACTCACCCGATGCCAACCAATCACAGACGTTTGCGACCATCCGCTGCAGCCAATGGCCGGCACCGATTGCCCGCTACCGACCAATCGGACGGACACTACCTAAATTGGACCATTGCTGGGGTGCTCCATCAACGCGACCCTCTCTTTTCGTCCCCCATTTAAATAGAGCTTGGTATCGTCAGTCATCACTCGGGTTTACCTAGCCTGAAACTGATTGCTCTCAGCCATGACCCGCCCCGCGTACCTTTTGACGCTGCTGCTGCCAGCGCTGTGCGCCCTGACCAGCGCGCAGATGGACAACCGACAACGTCAAGAGATGCTGGCGAGAAGCAGGATGCAGCAGCAGCTGCACCGCGTGCTACCCGACCACCAACAGCCGAAGTTTGACTCTGACGACGGAGGCGACCACTACCCGGCCCGCACCAGCGACCACTACTGCAGGCTGTTCGGAGGACATTCGCTGTGTCGGGTGCCGCACACCCGACAGAGCTGTGGCTTCGTGCGCCGCCGCCGGCTCTCTGTGGATGAGAGCGCCGCCATGTTACACAGGCACAACATGGAGCGCATGCTGGTGGCCCAGGGCCGGCGGCGCGGTCGGAATGGACAGGCCCTGCCCAAGGCCGCCAACATGATGCAAATGGTAAGTAAATAATAAGTATTGCCTGCTGCCGTGGGACGGAGACGGGACGTTCATTTGCGTTTCTTTAGCTTGTTTCGTTGTTGAGCGTTTTTAGCTTGTTTCATATTAGATGTTTCCTTAAATTGTTTTTTTTTTTACTTTGTGAGTAATCGGGATATGTGGGGTGTGATTAATTAGGTTTTTAACGGTCTTTGTCTTTGTTTGTTTGTTGCAAATTAAACTTAATTCTTAGCGTCACGCTATGCTTGCTTTATTTTCAATGTTCTTTCTCTAGGCATTGCTCGTTCAAGCCCATGTCTTTAGTGCGTGGGTACCTACCGGCAAAGGCCAGCACGGAAAGTTTTTAAATTGAACCTGCGGGTAACCGCCTTGAGCCTTTCCCCAGCTCACTCCTCATTTCACCCCTTGTTTCCTCAGAGCTACGACGTGGAGGTGCATGACGTGGCCCAGGGCGCTGCCGACCGCTGCTTGGGTGACCACGACTGCAGTCCATGCCGCAAAGTCGGTACGTAAAGAATTCAGCGATTGATAAGGACCCTTCTGAGGTCCTTATCAATCCAGCGAGTCTTGTAAATTGACCACATTTAATGTCATAACAATGCCACTAAAGCTGCAAATTTTGAACGGTTTAGGGAATAAAAGTAAATCACAAAAAGTGATGTTCAAATCGTGGCATTTTTTAAATATCCCATGTAAATGTAGCACTGGCCATGGGTGTCGTTTTGTAGAGGCTTGGCAGGGCTAGAGTCCTATACCAAAAATTTCATATCTTTTTATGGCGTTGCATGATAAGGATCTTTTTAGAATCCTTAAGTTGAAGTAGAGCCCACCAATAAATTTCGGAAAGTTACACCGTGACATTGGCACTTGTAGTTTGCAGAATTTGATAAGATTTTGCCGTGTGTCAACTTAGCTGGCGCAAGATAACTGAAGTCGAAGACTGGTTGATATGCTATCTAATGTGCGCAAAATACGGAGCATTACCTACTTGAACAAAGAGGCATTTTGTTTTTGACACCATACAAATTTAAGCGCTGCACATAAGTTTTTTGAGATGGGTGGTTACACATAGACATTCCTCATGTGGTGGCATACCATTTCTGTCCCCCTGTTCTGTCCCGCAAGTGATCCAAACTATGTATTTTTTATGTGTATGTCGTATTTCAGAAAGGGGAGATCTCGGGCAAAACTTTGCCGCGCACTCGGTGTTTATAAGCCCTTCCTCGCGAGAGGGCCTGCTCAAGATCGATGTGCCGCCATTGGACCAGACGGGTGGCTGGTTCATGCAGGCCGATCGTCTCAGCCCTTCAGAAGTCCACAGGTCAGTGCGGCTTAGCGGCCCGGGCTATCCTGAGCAGCAGCGTCATTGCTTCGAACATCTCATTGGCTGTGATTTATACTAGTAATGAGGTAGGAGTAGGATTCTTATGATGGTAGAAAATGACCTTATGCTCATGATACAATGAAATGATATTAAAATAAGTCCAAAAATAATATTTTTTGGACTTAATTTAATATCATTTCATTGTATCATGAGCATAAGGTCATTTTCTACCATCATAATATTCATAATTATGCTCAAACTAGCCATAGCTCACCTCCAAGGAGTAGGATTCTCTCAAATAGCGTGATGTCTAAATTACGCAAGGGAGAATGCATTTCTCTTTAGTCGAAATGTATGCAGGTCCTGCAATATTACACATCGGTTGCCTTAGGGCAGTTTCTTGGTGCTTGTATTTCCAACCAACCCAATGGTCTAATCTAATCAGGTTGGCTGTGTGTCGCATAAGACCCTCCCTCGCCCGCCCCCACGCCGATATAGGTACAGCCCACCGCTAAAGTAATGTAGGGTTTTACCAATCTCAACGGTTGGCTTTGACTGAATGCGGAGTGATCGAAAAGAAGATGTCAATAGCTAAAGTTGCAGCTGCAAAGGTGACGATACCTATAAGCTACATTCAAAGTTTCATTGTAGTCTGGTTAATCGTTCCTAAGCTTCAGAAGCAGAACATACCCATGACTGAAACCCCACATTACTTCTGCAGTGGACTGTACCTACCAGTGGCGCGTTATGCGTTGTGGCCTCTCAGTCTGATCTTATCCTCCGATCTGCGACAGGTTCAAGGGAGGCCACGGCGCTGGCCACTACACCCAAGTGCTCTGGGCCACCTCGGAGCGGCTCGGCTGCGGCTGGATAGAGCACGAGGAAAGGGGAGGTCTCTCGGTGAGTGATAGAATTAACCTATGAAGCATATAGGATAGCGCTCTAGAATCGTAAATTCTCATCATTGCTTATGCCTCGTCGAATTTGAAGATGAATGAATACAATAATCGAATAGTTGTAGGTATTGACGATCACTTTGCAAACGCATTTAGCAAAGTCATTGCTTCAGATAAAATAACGAGTTTTCAAATTGTGTAGGTACTTCTACCTCCGTAGTTTTCAGTTAAATGTATTCTAATTCCATCTTTGTCTTGTTACAGGTCAAACTGTTTTGCAACTACGGGCCTATCGGTAACATTATTGACCTCCCCGTGTATGTGGCTGGTGAGCCGTGCTCCGCCTGCCCGCGTGGAACCACGTGCTCAACAGAGTACCCGGGCCTGTGCAAGCGACTGTGAGCCGCCGAGCACGACTCGCCAGCAACTGTCTTATTTTTTTATATTCGTTGCGTTTCGTTACTTGTACTGTTTAAATATGCCCTAAAAAATGTTTCCTGAACAAAATAGAATATTGTTTGTATTGCGATGTTTCTCGTGGTTGTTGAAGTACTAGCGTCGATCCAGAGAGTGAATGACTGAAGAGACATGTATATTATGGTAGCATATACACACTAGCGAATAAAGTGGAATAGAGCGTGCGTCTGAAACACATCGAATATTGCATCACAACTTTATTCTTACATCTTTTACTCGTGCTGTATCGAGGGCGGGAAAATGGTTCACTTCAGACTGCTTAGAGATGGGCGTCAATGCTTGGTGAAGTGTTTTTGCCTTCATGTAGTGATGACTGCGAAGGGTGACACTTGTAAAATTTCGAGAACGAAAGCAAAAAGGTCGCTGAAGCATAATACATAGTGTGTGGAAAGGAGAATATTCATGCTTACCGCTATGCTTACCGCATCTTCAGAATTTAACGCTGCAATTGCTTCAAAATTGAATATTGCAGACGGTAATGGGTTTAGTCACAGCTGATTAGACAGGCTGATCAGGCCATCCAGTCTGATAAACACTGCACATTTATAAATGTACCGCGGATACATGAGCCAAGTAAATGCGTATTATAAAGGGATTAAAATAATCAGCGAATAGGGTTAATCAGTTCATAATGCGTACTTCCTTCATTATTCATCAATGACCATTGACCACAGTCGAGTGTCGAGTATTTTTTACGACTGAGCGTCATGTCAGCTAATACTCCTTTCAGAATGAGGGCAGTTTATTGCATTGAGGCTGATTCAAGCACGCTGGGACACGGGGCAGGGAAACATCAGCATGACAACGCACTTCTCCATACCTATCAGTACCGGTTGCAGGCACACCGCACTCTGGCAGCCATGGCACCGTAGTGGATTTTAGAATGTGCGTGTTCGATGGGTGTGATTGGTTTTACCATTATGCTTAAAATGTTGCTGATATTGGGAATGAGTTTATATCACTTCAAAACCCTGTAGCAGTAGTCGTATGTCAAGAGCGATTCTCTTCATTGAGAGGAAATTAAACACTCACTTGCTCAAAATGGGTAATGACGTAAGGCAACTAACTCATGGTATAAGAAGATTAATGACATGTCCGTATCAGGACCAAGGTAAACGGTTACGTTCCATTGAGGCGAACATTGACATTTACCGGCAAGCAATATAAGCGCTCGGGCGCTCGCAATGGTGTGCCCTGTGATGTGTGTATGCATGATAAACATATTGTAACGGCAGTTTGTCGACGAAGGGGCGCCATTCACACTGAAAGCAAAGTGGTTGGGCGTGCAAAAATGTCTAAGAGTCCTCAGCGATTCTGGAACATTATGTCGTTCAATGGATGTTCATGAGCCTAAGCCGCGGACAAGTGCTTACTCCCACGTGTGCACGATATAGGGGAGAGTGGGGCAAAGCGGCCACCCTAACGTTTCTAACGATGCCGACGCTTGATTTTTAAACTTGGAAAGATTCTTTCTATACCAATGTGATCCCTATTAAATTGTCTTTTATTCCAACTGCGTTTCATTTCCAAAGGCGTTCACATATAGGAGATATTGACAAAACTTTAAACCTATAGCATATTGGCCACTTTGCCCCATCCCTGAGGCAAAGCGGCCACTGGCGACTTCTCAAGTACCGATATGAGAAACAGAATAGTTGCCTCATGCACGACTAGGGTATTTGATGGTGACAAGGTTTAAGGGAAGATGGATGTTTACTTTGTTATCTTCCCACCTATTGCTAAACAAAGAAAGAATTTTCTTGGAAAAACATTTAATTGCATAATTTGGTAACTCATGTAACCGAAAAGTGGCCAAGATGAATGCATGACGACACATTTGAATATAAATAATGTTTTTATCCAGATGGAAACAACTTATGGCCAATTGGGGGCTGGCCACTTTGCCCCGGCCGCTTTCCCCCGCGCATACCGTCCGAGACAAAAATATTCCAGCTCAGCTATGAGTGGGGTAAAAAGCATTAAAATTGGTAGAAGGCATGTACGATAACCACGCAATGCATGGACAAAAACGCTTATAAAAATTCCAAATGGTTATGGAATAAAATAACATTTAAAAATTGTAAACATAATTGGTAACCTGGCAAGAAATGCTTTTCCGTGTTTCACAGAACAATGGCGATGGGCCTGAAACCCCGGTCTGGCTCATTCGAACGACCGCAAAGAGAAGTATAATTGGAAATCATAAATTGGAACTGACGCCAGCTGTGGAGGGCTAAAACGATGGATGGCCGCTTTGCCCCGGGTGGCCGCTTTGCCCCACTCTCCCCTATGTACGCTGCCGATGGTCGTGTGACATAAGCAACAAGCACGCAATCGCTTGTTACATTTTTAACCAGCGCATGAATGGTGTATTTTCCATGGCGCTGGTGACCATGGGAGGGGGAGGGGCTCTAAAGAGCCCCACTCCTATATTCGAAACTACTGGACTTATTTTCAAAATACAAACGGCATTTGATAGCTATGAAAAAACTGTCGAATAAAACCTAATTTTATTTACCTCGAAGTCAATAGTGATATCACAATGGGTAACAGTAGGTATGCAATACAAATCATAAATATTTTGGCTTGTTCACCATTTGGACGGTGACCAACGGCTTCCAAATCAGATCACTCATTTTTGTTTACGCCATAGTCAAGATATGTCTAAAATACTCGGGGCTACCGAAACTGTACTTATAATTTTCAGGTTACAGCTAGGTCATTCTAGGTCACAGAAATCTTACATAATGCACTGGTCACGTTATAGTTACTTACGTGTTTAATGTTCCATTTCGGCCAAGTATTTCGAAATAAGTGTCGTTGGTGTCATCTGCCATTTTCAGCTGAACTAGCGAAGGTCATTTGTATGCAAAAAGTTAAAGTTTGAAGCAGAATCTAATCTACAAAAAATGCAGTATGAGCTCAGAAGCACGATCTTGCTATATTTTCCTTTGCTGTGCGATGTCAAAATTGTACTGAAAATGAACTTGAGTTATTGATAAGACTGAAATAGTTACTAGAAAGCGTTCCAATAACTTAACTATTTTTGAAGACACCGGGCTAAAACATTTCTAGATTTGATCATCGGTATGTGTTCTAAATCAAAATCATTCGTTTTTTAGTCAAATAGGCACTCAGCCCAATAATTCGAATACTTAGCTGATAGCTAATAGATTTGCGATATTCTCGAAAAATCACAAGACGAGTGATAAGACCCCTCCCCCCCCCCAGCAGGGCGCAGTCGCTAACACGGAATACTGCCGCGGTAAGATTGTAAAAAACAAGGTCTTGATACCCTGACCGAATGACCATATACATACGTCAATCGTCATTGGCAGTTCGGCTCGGTTTGTATATGAATGAGTCCGTTTTGGAAACCAGCGCTTGGTAAAAGCTCAAATCTGAATCGCGCCATGTTCAGGTGTGGAAGTGGAAGTGCAACACGTATACGTCAAAAGCAACGCAAGTGGTGTTAACAGATGTGTAAAGGCCCGGTGTGTGAGATTGGGCCACTGCTCCCCCATTTCTCCTCCCTGGCGGGATCCGGTGGGTGTGGGGCTGGGGCAGCCTCCCCTCCTCCCTACTCATCCTCGCGGACCCAGTAGAGGACGTTCCCCGACTGTGGCGCAAAGTCGCTCAGCCACGGACTGTTGTGCCAAGAGTCGACCCGGCTGACCAGCGTGCCCCAGAAGGCCGAGTCGTCGCTAGTGGTCAGCACGAACTCCAGCTGCGGCGCTGTCGAGAAGTAGCCCAGGTTGATCCACGGCAGTCGGTCCTCGATGGTGTTGTGGTCAGTGGTCCATTCGCCGAACCGGGTCACCAGCTGGGTGGGCACGTCCGGGGCGTACCGAACCAGGGAGCTGACCCGGGGCGCCGACCAGATGCCGCCCCACTGCTGGCGGCCCGTCTCAGCCTGACCCTCCAGTCTGCGGGGAGAGAGCGAGAGAGAGGGAGAGAGAGAGAGAGGGAGAGAGAGAGAGAGAGAGAGAGAGAGAGAAAGAGAGAGAGAGAGAAGAAAAAGAGAGAGAGAGAAGAGAGAGAGAGAGAGAGAGAGAGAGAGAGAGAGAGAGAGAGAGAGAGAGAGAGAGAGAGAGAGAGAGAGAGAGAGAGAGAGAGAGAGAGAGAGAGAGAGAGAGAGAGAGAGAGAGAGAGAGAGAGAGAGAGAGAGAGAGAGAGAGAGAGAGAGAGAGAGAGAGAGAGAGAGAGAGAGAGAGAGAGAGAGAGAGAGAGAGAGAGAGAGAGAGAGAGAGATGGTGAGAGGATCCTTTTGCTCTGGGCACAGAAACAAAAGTAGGTAGCTTAATATTAACTATAGTTTTCCGATATTTTCTGCGAACGGTTAGTATAAAACGAAGTGACTGACAGGCGCTGACCTGTAGACGAAGCGGTCCCCAGTCCCGAAGCTGAGGAGGCGACCGCCCAGCTCCAGGATGGAGTAGTCGGCCGAGATGTTGGGCTGCTGCTGGTTCCTGCCGGTGACGAGGGTGACGGTGCCGTCATCGGTCCAGGTGCTGGACACGGAGGACAGCACCAGCGTCCAGCCGCCGCCGTCCAGCTGCTGGTCACAGAACACCGGCACCGGCCAGCCGGCCAGCTGGTACAGGCCACTGGGCGCGGCCGGCTGCTGGCGCAGCACCTGCAGACAGGTGCGCGGGCAGATGACGCCCAGCTTGGCGCCCAGCAGAGGCGCGCCCCCGCCCGGCGCGCACAGCTCCATCGTCTCCGGCAGTAGCTGACACACGCTGCCGGACACGTAGTTGAACGCCCAGCACGAGAGGTGACCCTGGCAGAGCAGCGCGCAGTGGGTCACGCTGCGCACGGCAGCCTCCTGCAGCGGTGTCGCAGAGGCGGCCACCCGGTCGGGCGTGATGTCATACCGCGGCAGGAGGCCGGCCAGCAGTCCCTGACACAGCAGCAGGCCGACCTGCAGCCGGAGCAGTCGGCACCACGCGGCAGCCATCCGCCGCTGCCGGCCGATTACCGTTAAGCTCCACCCGAGTCCTGTGGTCTCCGCGTATGAGTTCCGGCACTGGTCACCAGCCGCCA